AAAGCCTTCGACATGGTGAATCGCGGAGGACTATGGAAAATCATGCATAAATTCGGCTGTCCCGAACGATTCACTCAGATGGTGCGTCAGCTCTACGATAGCATGATGGCGCGAGTCATGGAAAATGGAGCTGTCTCAGAGACATTCGAAGTGATCAACCGAGAAAGCAGGGCTGAGTCCTCGCGTCCACCCTCTTCAGTTTCATGCTCTCTGCCATGCTGATGGACGCCTACCGTGACGAACGCCCTGGGATTCGCATCGCCTACAGGAGGAACGGCCAACTCCTCAACCACCAACGGATACACTTCCAGTCCCGTGTATCCGCAACTATATTCCATCAACTTCTTTTCGACAATGACTGCGCTCTGAACGCCACCTCGGAAGGGGACATGCAAAGGAGCATGCCCAGCGCATGGATTGGTCTTTAGCGAAAAAAACTCATGCACTACTTACTTCATCATGTTCCACTGGTAGAGCAAAGTTACGACAACTAAAGATGGGCATGAGCGCAGTGGCTGCGACTGTGTACTGTGGTTGACTTGGAGTAAGTCTACGAGCGCTCCTGGGATAAACCGCGCTCCAAAGCAGCCGTCTGGTTCTGTCCCGTGCATAGAGCATAACTTTGCAAGGCCGAAAGCGAGGTAAATGCCAAATGGGGATGATAAGGAATGGTCAATTCGTGCAGCATGGAACTCGATAAGACTGCCGACCGGAAAATGTGCCTCATAGTCTGGATATCCTAAAAATAGACTTTAAAACACTGTACATGGAGGACTGGAGCGGTAGAGCCAATAACCATTACGCGCACCCCTCGGTTAACGTGAGTTCGCCCTTGCTGATCTCACTTGTGAGACCGGAGTCGTGCACGTATCACGGCGAGGCTTTGTAGTGTGCTGACGTTGCCGAGTGGAAATCCTAACCGTCATGGGACGGTTGCCGCTTTTTAATTTGCTCAGAAATCAATCGCTAACTTGGAGTCAATCAGTCTATTTGAGATTTAAAGGCTCAGACCGAGATTTGATGGAACGTGAGACGGACAACATGACTAGCATCCAGAAAGCTGCATAAATTCTTGAGTAGCGTGGCGCTATCAGATGTTACCAAACTTTCATCAATCATGAGCGATAAATACGTCGACCGATGATAATATCCAAGATATCTGCATCCCACACAATCCCGCTTATGCCCTGCCGTGCTGTCTGTCTAAAATAGACTTGTAAGTAAAACTTAGAGGCTTCCGGCCAGAAAAAATATCCCACGAAGGCCATGTTTCTTCGAGAAAAATATTGTGTAACCGATCTACTACGTAATGTTATGTATCGATGCGCAGGTTATATCTGAGTGGAGGCGACTGGAGCAAAACAATCTAATCTGCCGGCCTTGTTACGGATGATGCTCATTTGTGATCTAAAAAGGTACAGAGGGTCTTCTACAAGGACGCAAGGTAGTCTTGTTTTGTCGTACATGAAATCCGTAGTAAAAGTATGTACTTCGAGTGATCAATGATCCCAGAAGATGGAATTATAGAAAAATGAACTCAGTTATTCAATTTTAGTGCTTTATCAACGCGTCATCAGAAAAATACTTCCAAATAAAAGTGTACATAAAATATTTGACTTTACAGCACTGCCTGTTTTTACTTCTGCTCTTCAGTGGACTCCGGCAGTTTATCAAAGGCTGCGTCGAGGTAG